TACACAAATAAATGTTTATGCTTAAACAGTAACAACCAAAGAAATGAGGCCATAAACTTAAGAGTAGTAGCAAACATGGGAAGGAGTTGAGAAAGAGTATGTGGGAGAGGATGGCAGGGGGAAAGTGATGTAATTCTATCTCAATGTAAAGTCTATTTTAACAATAGTTGAGGGCAGAAACAATGTTCTAAGAAACTAATCTTAGGAAACACTGAAATAAAAAATCTCTATAGAACTTTCCAAATGTAAAATTGAAATAACATTTTAACTTGTAAGGCATTAGGTATTGTTGAAATTAAATGAAGATTGTTTCTTCTAAAATGTCATACTAACTCAGAAAATTGCATGCAATGGTTGGATAATCTTGGTTAAGACAGGTAGTAGAAAGGATTCCAAGATTCTTGAAAACAGAGTGAAAATCCTTATACTCATTGATTGGAATTTCTGTGAGTTAAGAAGATAATAAAAATGATTCACACATTCACAGTTCTATCAAAAGTAGAAATTAAAATACTATGGCTGACCACAATCAATGCATAATTCCTACTCTACTAACAGACTTTAATTGTAGTATCTTTTTTCAATATTTCAGATCAGCAAAGCAAGTCCTCCCTCTTGGAAAATGACCTTGCTAAATGTCTGCAGCCTTATAAATAACCTGAACAGCCCAGCTGGGGAAGTAGGAGATATGCATGAAGATGATCTTGTTGGAAAAAGGAAACTGCCTGTTGTTCTGGATGGCTTTAGCTTGGAAGCAATGCTGACCATATTCCAGCTCCAAAAAATCTGCCACAGCAGGGCCTTTCAACACTGGGAGGTACAAAAGAACCCAAAGATGGACATTAGGGTCATTGCACTAGTGGGCTCTCGTTTGTATTTATGTCTACACCCTGATAAAACCATAGTAGGGAGACTTACAAATACTAGAAAGTATTGAATCATGTTCTGAAGTCAACATCCTTCTTACCTTCAAAGTGTCCTTCAAATATTTGGAGAATAACAAACATTTTTCTTCAATCTTTAAAGGATAATACTATACATAAGGCACATTTGAACCATATATGTGAATGGATCAAACACTGAGGCAGTTTTTTATTATACTGGCAATAGTGACGCATGTCAAGAAATTTAAGTAAATCCAACTGTTTTCCTAAAATCAAAAATCATGTGTACTTACCTATAAACAAACACAATACAAAAGTTTCAAAGAAAATAGAGGAAAAATCAGAATGCTGGGTGCAATTCACAGATTAGCATGTAAATAGGAATTGCTTTTCAGCTTTTATATTTGATTATTGGGCAAGTAAAATATTTAATTTTTAAAATAATTATACATATAAATATATGTATAGATGTGTGTATGCTCATGCACATACATAGCCACATATGGAAAGGCCTTTGAATTCTAGATTAATAGTAAATGTAACTTTTACTTTCAACATTACATATCCATATTCTAGATGTTCTGTCATCTACATGTTCTGAAACAAACATTGTCAATTAGCCATGGTCCTCTTAAGACTCAAAACTTAAATTCAGAAAGATAAATAACCAGTCCTTAGGTATATCCAAATTGGATTTGGTTCTTCAACCATTAGTTTTAACTCCAAAACATACTTTACTACTGATAAAATAAACAAGTAACACATCACTGAAGAATGGCATTAGGGATGCTGTAAATGTATCTTTAGATTGTTTATATATGCATTTTTTGAGATTGGGTTATATAGTTATGTAACCCTGGATGGCCTATAACATAGTATGTATCACAGAATGGTCTCAAACATGTAGCAATCCTCTTCTCCCTGCCCCCAAAGTACTAGTATCAATGAGTGCACTACCAAGTCTGGTTGACCTGTGATAAAGGGTAGAAAAAACTGAAAATTTTAGTAATCTACAAATTACCAAAATAGCATTCTCAACAAACACTTTATTTTTGTATTACCTTGGCATACATTGCACTAAAAAAGTAAATTAGAGCTTTGGGAAGAAGTAACAGAAATTTGAACTGAAAGAAGGAAAATGTGGAAGGCAACCAAATGTTTCTAAAAGGAAAAATGGAACTCGATTACACTTTTTCAACTGGAGAAATATTATTTTTCTGATCAAGGCCTGAGAGGTTTGTTTAATGTTTTAAATTGTGGGCTTACACCAAAGCTGCAGTTCTGAGGGTGCCCTCTCTGTTATTATAACAAACAGCCTGTGAGTGGCTGCCACAGAGATACCCTGTGAAAGGAAGAAATGCAGGCATAGCTGCTGGTGTTTATACTAACTGGTAAACATAACCATGCTTTCCAGATGAGAAACTGAAAAGTCTAGTTCAAATTATCTTGTTGTACTATTCATCCTTTAATTTTAATTCCAGATAAATGGAACAGTCTTTAGAACATTATTTACCTCAATAAAACTTGAAAATTCAGATCTTAGCAGAGGGAAATGCCAATTATGCCTTATTTACCCAGAGAAGAAAGACACTCAATAAACTAATTAGCATATAAGTCAACTGAACATAAGCCTGCAACTCTAGTTACTTTAACTGTTGAGTCATTTTAAAAATGATACTATCATTCTGAGCATAGTACAAGTAATTACAGACTATGCACTTTAAAGAAAGTAAAGATTAAAAACCTAGATTGCCTGACAGTAGCTACTTTGCCTTCTCTGAAACTCAATAACTGTGGCTTGAAATAAAATACTTGGTGAAAGGATGGTATACATGTCCATTACAATTGAAGTATCTACAGCATCTAGGATGTTTGGAACAGTTTGTTCCAAACAGTTTGTTTAGGAAACTGGTCGTTGGAATGACTTTTAGGTCATGTCAGTAATTGACTTAAGTCAATATAAAATCCTGTTAATTTTTTATTCAAATGGATTGTGAGATTCAAAATGGAATTTATTGTGATACACTTCACATGATTTTGGAGTCAAAGTGTCAAAACTAATTAGGAGATGTCTCTGGTAAGGCCCTTCACCTGGAAAATATAAATACATTTTTCAAAAGAGGTAGGCTGGTGAGCTGGGAAAGGACATAAATAATCAGAAAGATTGTGACCTGATTCCATCTCAGATAATCATTTGCCATGTGACAAAATAGTTTCTCTGATCCTTCAGGTGCCCTTTTCTTAAAACAAGTAGAATAAAATATAGAGAAATTTATGAAATATATTTCATGCATGTAACTTCCCTTTGTGTTTTCTCTATTTTAGATCATTCAGGAAGACATTCTTGATAATGGCAATGAGAAAAATGAGAAGGAAGAAGTGATAAAGAGAAAAATCCCTTATATTCTGAAAAGGCAGCTGTACGAGAATAAACCTAGAAGGCCCTACATACTCAAGAGAGGCTCCTACTACTACTGATAAGCTAGTACTTGACACGTGATTGTGATTGGTCACCCTTTATCTAGACATGTAGTCATATGTTTATCTAGATATATAATTATGTGTGTGTGAATGTGACAGAACTTGATTATTTCAGCTCTTGCACAATTGTGGTTTATTGGATGTTATTTTTCTGCATTCATGTAAATTGAACTAAATGTTTTCAAATAAATGCAGATCCTGAGCATGATGTGTTCTCTATAATTGGAATAGATACTAATCATATCACATAATAGAATGTTTTGTAATTTTGCAAAATACATTACAGGATGTCTGAACAGTCATCACATTTGGCATTTTATATGAAACTGTAAGAGATTTTAGCAAAGTTGAGCACACATCATTTTCCCAAAGCAGAACAATGAACATTTTGATCATCTGATTGTTTTATTTTTAATTGAAAGAAATATACACTGCTTTCCAAAAACCCACTGGCTTATCTCTCAGTACAAAGGGAAGCTACTGTCATGTAAGGCACAACTGAAAGAATTGTTAATGAAACATTGTTCTTATGCTTATCTCAGTGTATCTTTACGTATTTTGCCTGTCAAAATGAATTTGATAGCTAATAAAATTCAGCAAGCCATCAGATTCTAATGCTTTATTTCAGTTTTTCCTGTTTTATGAGAATTTTTGAATCCCCCTTTTACACTTTTCAGTTAGAATATCATGCATTTATTTTGAAATTTCACTTAGGGATTCTGTAATTAATATTTTTTCTCATTGGGAAGTTATATTTATAGAAGTTGTGCATCTAACAATTCCTCTTGACTTTCCTTTAAATTTATATGTATAACCTGATAAGGCTTTGCATTTCACTGTCTTCTGTGAGTTTCTAAATTATTCCCCTTACTGGGTCCAGGAAGCCTTGCAGTCTATCCATTATTACCCAGGAAAGATGAATCCAGAGCTCATGTAACTAAGTCATCTCCAGAATGCTGTCTTTTTTCATGAGATTGTCTTTCTCCAAGCTTAATATTACTTAGAGGATGGTTGGTGAGGACCTTCCAGATTGTACAGTTTTATTCACCAAAATAAAACTGGCTTTTACTGCTAAGTCTTCACCATCCTTGAAGAGTCAGTAAATCATATCACGTAAAATGTCCATGGAACCAACCAAGGCAGCATACATGGTCTTGGAGACTAAGAGTGTTTTATCAAATTGACAATGTCCAGATTATGCTCAATTTGTTTACTAGCAAACATGGGAAATTGTGGGTCTCCTTTGTTTCTGTGACTGTAAAGAGGGATAAGAATGCAATGTGAGGAAAGGTAAAATGGTCTGATTACATATATTATAATATATTGCATAATTCATAGGACTGTGGTGAAACACATTAAGAATACACTACATTCAACAGTTAATACTTGCAGTGGATGGATTTTCTCATGATATACCTTCTTAATATAATGTTATACTATCATTAGTGTAACAATATATCCCAATTTTTTCCTAGCATACCTTCTCATGTACTTTATTAGCCACCAAAGTCATATTTCATCTGAAAGTTTCTTTTTAAAACTAGTACTATCTCCCTTTGAGTTCTCTGAAACATTTTCACTGACTTCTCCAAAACTCATGGTCACTATTTTCAACTATTAACTATCCTAGAGTAGAGAAGGAAGATTCATATTCTAATCATCTCCATTCCATTTTTGGAATGTTGATTAAAAAACTACGGGTTGTTCCAATATAAGGTACATAGTAAGAAAAAGTACAAAATTGTGATGAGAAATCATGAGAAAGTAAGTGAAGTGTATCATATTTAAAGAACTGAAGACTCATTACCAGGATGTTAGTCTTTCCAAACCTGTTTTACAAACTCAGTGTTGTCTCCAAAAGCCCTCAGTGAGTTAATTAGTGGTTATGAACAAATTGGTGAGAAAGTTTATATTTAAAGACAGAAGATTCAAACGAATAAAATATTACCAAACCACTTAACTTAGAGTTTTCACACAGTCCTATTTCAAAGCTTACCTTAAGGCTATGTTAATCACAGAAGTATAATTTTTTAAAAAAGGGTAGACTAATTAATCAATTAAACACTGTAGAATGCAGTGTTTAATGCAGATCCATCTGAAGTTGATCATGGGATCTTAAAGAAAGGCACAAGGGTAATTCAAAGGAAAAAATTTCTTCCCCAAAAATATTACCACAATAACTAGACAGGCACATACAATGAGATCTAAACAGAAACCCTATACATTTGAAGATGAATACTACTTCAAGATGAATCACAGACCAAAATGTAAAACACAATTATAGCACTGGGAAAAAAACCCTAAATATAATTAGTTTGAAAATAAATGTTTAGATACATTGTCAAAGGAATGAGAATTCCAGTGACATTCTTAACATAAATAGAATTTTTTCAAATCTTGAAATTCACATGCAAACGGGAAAGTAAGTAAATAGAGTAAAAGGCTTTGGGACAAAAATGACCTATTCATGAATAAAAGGTTCAACTTCTTTTTTTTTTTTTTTTTTGATACAGGGTTTCTCTGTATTGCTTTGGAGCCTCTCCTGGAGCTCGATCTGTAGACCTGGCTGGCTTCAAACTCACAGAAATCCTCCTGCCTCTGCCTCTCGAGTGCTGGGATTAAAGGCGTGTGCCACCAACGCCTGGCAGGTTTAACTCTTTAACCAGAAATGTGACTTGGGTTCTTGTGTATTTTGTCACAAGATAGCTTTGCTATCTTTCCTGTTCTGCCTATGCACTTCCTTTGGTCTTGCAGGGTCTGTTGGTCCCTGAGTAGCTAGTAGGTGAGCATCAGAAGAAATGGCTGGCTGCTTAGAGGTTGCAGCCTCCCCATGGCCTAGCAGCTTATCTCAATAGCTCCACAATATGGAGCTCCTTCTCTCCAGCAAAGCTTCCTGCTCTCTACCTGCCCTTATGTGGAGAATGTCTATGGGCCTGATAGACTGAACTTACTTAAAAGCTGTCTCTTAACTGATTCATCTTTAACTTGACCCTTGGCAGAGAACCTTACAAAGATTTGTGCTAGGGGCTCTGCTATTGGACCCTACTGCCTTGTGATAGGAACAAGCCACTTAATACAAATTAGGGATTGTCCCCAGGATCCCCAATCCTATATATTCCTTATACTCTGAAATAAAATCTAGCTGATTCATTGAAATTTGTCTCCCCGAAGGCCGTCTTCATTTGTGCTCATGGGTCACCAAAGCTTTCTGTGGCCCCATCTGCCTCTTCCTGTCTAGACTTGGTGGCTAACAGGCAGAGGGGGAAAGAGGAGCCCCACAGGGGAGGGGAGACACACAGTTTTGTCTTCCCTACTTTAATGATAAGAACAGAAGATAGAAATTGCTTGGGTAGAACAGGGACCCTAAAGCAGCAGTTAACATCCTTGCTGGAGGCATGGATGGACAGAAGACAACTCTGCTTCCTCGTTCCTTTTTCCTGTCTTCTCTTAAATGTGCACCCGTCTAGAATCTGTGTACAAGGATGTGTTTGAGAGTAAGAGGAAGCATCCAGATTCCCTCTGGATGTGCCAATGGATTTGTTACCAGGGAAATTTGGGGGGAGGGAGCTTTGAGGTCACTAAATGTTACCATGGAAATCGGGTTCCATTTTTAGTAGCATTAATAAAAATAATTTAAGAATAGACTGGAAAAGAAGGTTTAGGTCAGTTTTATTAGTCTAAGAATAATAAATAAATAAATAAATAAATAAATAAATAAATAAATAACCACAAAAGCAAGCTGTATATCCTGGCAGATGCCTGGTGGAGGGAGTTGGAAAACGCAATTGGAGAAAGCCATGCTTTTGTAATGGAGGTTAGTATCTACATGGCAAATTGAGGTGTAGTGAAAAATCAAAGCATGAGTGAAAACTTCCAGGGCATCAAGGAAAGCATGTCCAGGCTTTGTCCAATATCCAAAAGAAAGAGATATGAAAAAGGAAAAGGAAAAATTGGTCCACAACAGTGCTAGAGAGCCACTGCAGTGGTATAGGACTCAGCTCTGCAAACAGGTGGCATGGGAAAGCACAATGCCTCTTTAATGAGATAGTTCTTCCTTCTTTCCAGCAAGTCTTCAGGTGACCCAGATTTCTGGGGTGGGAAGTGGATAGGCTCCTGGACAGGTGATTAATAGGCCAATTAGATTAACTCTTTTATTTATTGTTGTTGTGTTTGGTCTTTCAAGTCAGAGTTTTCTCTGTATAGCCTTGGCTGTCTAGGGACTCACTCTGTAGACCAGGCTGTCCTCCAGGTCATAGAGATCCACCCGCCTCTGCCTCCCTGAATGCTGGGAATTAAGTTCTGTTTCATCACTTCTTGGCTAGATTAGCTCTTAAAAGAATATAATATAATGAATACTTTGGGTGTCATAGAACGCTCAGTCTCTACCCTCTACCCAGGTTCACACTTAAAACTTAGATTGTATGCCAGGGGTGGTGGTGCTCACCTTTAATCCCAGCACTCGGGAGGCAGAGGCAGGTGGATCTCTGTGAGTTCAAGGCCATGCTCCAAAACAATACAGAGAAACCCTGTCTCCAAAACAACAACAACAAAAACAAACAACAAAAAACCCAAAACGAAACAAAAACTTAGTAAGTATCTTTTGGCATGAAGGAAATAGATTTTCCTTAATGGATCATAACAAAGCCCAGGTAACTTGACCTTTTATATGGTGACTTAAATATTAAAGGGTGTTGTGATAGTTTCATTTCAAACATCACCAAGGAAATAGAAGAGAGGGATCTAAAGATCATGAGTGAGGGTTCCTTCCTCAGTGATCTCAAATCCTGCTCATATCTGCACAGCTACCTAGCAGTTGACTGCTTCCTGCTGTAACAGCACTCCTGGGATCCTGGGATCTCTCTCTCTCTCTATCTCTCTCTCTCTCTCTCTCTCTATCTCTCTCTCTCTCTCTCTCTCTGTGTGTGTGTGTGTGTGTATGTGTGTGTTCTCCACAGTAGGTATACAGAGGAGCACTTTCTCCTCGGCACTTCAACCTGGAACAGGAATTGTGGAAATTTCTCTATACCAGATTTCCATTCCTCATGAAGAAGAACCTGGGGTCTAATTTGGTATCTAGCACTGTGCTGGCATGCTACAGGTTTTCTGTGTTTTCCTCTATTGGGATCTAGTGCCAGGTCCTGGTCACAGCCTGTTTACAAGGAAAGAACTTGTCTTCTAGCTTACCCATAAGGAACAATCGGTTTTATTCTATTTCATCTTTCTTACTACATGGATGCACTTGACTTGCCATCACACTCAGTTGCTTGGGTTTGGATGCAGCATACCCTATTGTCCAAGTATAAAAGGCTTGACAGTGAGGTTTCACCATCATGTGGTGATTGCAACATCGAAAAGAAGCGACATTGTATTAGGTAGGTCCTTAGGTTACTGCGGAAATAAACTTAAAGGTGATATGGAACCCAAACCATATTCCTTTTGTTTGCTTCTTGGAGTAACATGAGCAAGTTACTCTACCACATGTTCCCTACAATGACCACCTGGCATACCCACCAACTAGAAAGCCAAAGGCAGGACTTCCCCCTAATCTTGGGTTGGATAATCCAAAAGTGTGATCCAAAACAACCCCCTTTGATAAAT